TGATCGTTCAAGTAGCTTAAGCATGTAGGTGTTGTTGCCTAGTACACGGGATGTCGGTTCGGTGTGGTCGAGGGTGCGGCGGGATGATGGACTTTCATTTCTGCATTCGCGGTTGTTTTGGTTGTTGTGGATTTATCCAAGTTGTCTACGTCCTTTGCTCGCCCCATGCCTCCCTCCTTCCCGGTCATGTATTCTCGGCACGCGTCTTGCAGCTCGCTTATTGCATGCTTTAGTTGGCGTAGCGGTGGTGTAGATGAACAAGGGGGAAAAGGTATTCATATTTATTCGTACAAAATAGTCATGAGATGAAACTTGGATCAACGAAGATTAAAGAAAACTGAATGCAAAAACTTGAATGCTCAAGGAACCGAACGCTTCAGATGGCACTGCAATTTCCGAATGAAGCGGCACACGGCTTTACGCGGTCGTCGTGCTCACGTTTATTCCGAGCTACTGTGATAGCGCGGGCCACAAGCCACACAAGCCCCGCGCTCAGGATTAACGAGCAGACCAGGAGCAGAACGTAAGCAGCCCCGCGAAGAGCGCGATTGCCGATGGATTGCTGAGCTCTCAAGTCCGACAAGTAGTCCAGATCCAGATCTAAAGTCGAGGGAACGCGGGGCGCGCTGCAGGTGCTCATGCTCAAATCATAAAAGGCAGCTAACGAGGGCACGCGGAAATCCGTGCGATGGCAAAAGTGCACGCTGTCGGATGTGCAAACCGCGTAAAACCAGGTCGCCAACTCTCCAGTATTGGGAGTCAGGTTGTCCACGCCTTCGAGCACGGTGTGGGTGGCAGCTGCAGCGTTCGGTAACTCTGGATGCAGCCGCTTGAACGACTCTTGTGTCAAGCTGGCAAATAACGGAATGGCAATCTCCGCAAACACCTTGGTCAAGTGGGCATACGACGAGAACCATACTGTGGGAGGGGCAGATGCCTCAGATTTGCGTGAGAATAGAATTCGCAGGCATAAGCAGCGACGCTGCAACGTCGGCTCCAATCAACAGTGTTCACCGACTTACCAAAGTTGCGGACGTGCTCCGAGGGAATGTACGCAACATCTGCAAAATCGCCAACGCGGAACTTGGTCGATCCACCTCGAGTTGCCCACTCGTCGATGAGCTGGCACGCCTCGAATCGATGGGAACGCGAACCGCAATCGCTCAAAGCTCGCTTGTACATCTTGTTGAGAGCTCTCATGCCCCATGGCCGACCCCAATGGACCCAGTCTGGGTCGTTCTGGTACTTGTAGAAATGGCTCGTCCAAATCGTGTTCAATGGCATGTCGTGGAGCTGCCAGAACTTGAGGAAGACGTCGAAATGAACGTAAAGGTAACCGCGATATTCTGGGTAGCGCAGCATGATGCTTGAGAGACAGTAGTATGCGTATCTGCCCGCATAGCCATCGGGGCACACGAAATGGTTGGATTGAGGGTCGCTGGAGGGCTCCGGAATGGATAGGACGACGTGTCGGAACGCACCTCGAAAGTACTTTTCGTGGTCGTAGTACTGCGGCAATGCCTGGTTGAATTGCAGCACGAGCAGCACGTTGTTGCGAGCAAAGTAGTCATCACACGCGATCAACTGCGAGGACGAGGAGGATGACGACGACGACGACGACAGCGTTGAATCCGAGGACGTGTCTTTCTCTGTCGTCATGTTCGTTGCTGTTAATTGCCGACCAACAGCGTTCTTGATACTGAGCACACGAGTCTCACTCGACAACTGCTCCACGCGGTCGTCGTCGTCGCTGGTGGTGGTTTGCGCATGGAGGAGCTCAGCGAATTCAGAACCGGCAGCTGGGTCACCGTGACTGAGGGCGTGTCGACCGAGGCGGAACTGGGCGTCGGTGACGAATGAGTTTGGGACATGTTCGCCACCGTTCGGCAGCAACACGAACAGGCTCAGCAGAATGCATGTAAGGCAGATAAACAGCAGCAGCCATCGTCGTTGGAACAGCAGCTCCAGCTTCGACATGATGCCTCAACCACGTAGGAAAAAAAAAAAACAAAGACTGACCGACGGTTGAGGTGTCGAACGCGGAAGAACAGGTCCACAGGGAGCATTCCGACAGCATCCAGCACCGCTCCTACCGCCTCCCCGCCTCCCCCGCCTCAAGCCAGTTTGTCCAGGATATCAAAAATGTCAAGGAAACAGCTTCTATGGAAATGGAACGGAGAGGGGAAGCGTCAAATTCCATTCGAATTTGAATACGACCCGTCGACAATCAACGGTACTGGCACGGCAAACCGCGCGCACAAGCCAGCAAGCAGCTTGTGCCCGAGACAGCCTCACCCGAAGAGACAACCAGTGTGCTAGAGACCACTGAGTAGCAGAAGATCCCCACCCCCACCCCCTATCTCCAGGAAGGTGTTGGTGATGATGCTCTGACACGCGATGATGTGCTACTTTGGGAATTCGAAAGCGGTTTATTTTTATTTGGTCATCTTCGCGCATCGAATCATTTTCACTTTCTGACTCATCGCTCGTGTTGATCGTTCAAGTAGCTTAAGCATGTAGGTGTTGTTGCCTAGTACACGGGATGTCGGTTCGGTGTGGTCGAGGGTGCGGCGGGATGATGGACTTTCATTTCTGCATTCGCGGTTGTTTTGGTTGTTGTGGATTTATCCAAGTTGTCTACGTCCTTTGCTCGCCCCATGCCTCCCTCCTTCCCGGTCATGTATTCTCGGCACGCGTCTTGCAGCTCGCTTATTGCATGCTTTAGTTGGCGTAGCGGTGGTGTAGATGAACAAGGGGGAAAAGGTATTCATATTTATTCGTACAAAATAGTCATGAGATGAAACAATCACTTGGATCAACGAAGATTAAAGAAAACTGAATGCAAAAACTTGAATGCTCAAGGAACCGAACGCTTCAGATGGCACTGCAATTTCCGAATGAAGCGGCACACGGCTTTACGCGGTCGTCGTGCTCACGTTTATTCCGAGCTACTGTGATAGCGCGGGCCACAAGCCAAACAAGCGCCGCGCTCAGGATTAATGAGCAGACCAGGAGCAGAACGTAAGCAGCCCCGCGAAGAGCGCGATTGCCGATGGATTGCTGAGCTCTCAAGTCCGACATGTAATCAAAATCCAGATCCAAGGTCGATGGGAAGCGGGACGCGCTGCAGGTGCTCATGCCGAAATCATAGAAGGCAGCTAACGAGGGCACGCGGAAATCCGTGCGATGGCAAAAATGCACGCTGTCGGAAGTGCAGACCGCGTAAAACCAGGTCGCCAACTCTCCAGTATTGGGAGTCAGGTTGTCCACGCCTTCGAGCACGGTGTGGGTGGCAGCTGCAGCGTTCGGTAACTCTGGATGCAGCCGCTTGAACGACTCTTGTGTCAAGCTGGCAAATAACGGAATGGCAATCTCCGCAAACACCTTGGTCAAGTGGGCATACGACGAGAACCATACTGTGGGAGGGGCAGATGCCTCAGATTTGCGTGAGAATAGAATTAACAGGCATAAGCAGCAACGAGCGTCGGCTCCAATCAACAGTGTTCACCGACGTACCAAAGTTGCGGACGTGCTCCGAGGGAATGTACGCAACATCTGCAAAATCGCCAACGCGGAACTTGGTCGATCCACCTCGAGTTGCCCACTCGTCGATGAGCTGGCACGCCTCGAATCGATGGGAACGCGAACCGCAATCGCTCAAAGCTCGCTTGTACATCTTGTTGAGAGCTCTCATGCCCCATGGCCGACCCCAATGGACCCAGTCTGGGTCGTTCTGGTACTTGTAGAAATGGCTCGTCCAAATCGTGTTCAATGGCATGTCGTGGAGCTGCCAGAACTTGAGGAAGACGTCGAAATGAACGTAAAGGTAACCGCGATATTCTGGGTAGCGCAGCATGATGCTTGAGAGACAGTAGTATGCGTATCTGCCCGCATAGCCATCGGGGCACACGAAATGGTTGGATTGAGGGTCGCTGGAGGGCTCCGGAATGGATAGGACGACGTGTCGGAACGCACCTCGAAAGTACTGTTCGTGGTCGTAGTACTGCGGTAGCGCCTGGTTGAATTGCAGCACGAGCAGCACGTTGTTGCGAGCAAAGTAGTCATCACATGCCAGTGGCTGCGATCTGGATGCCGAAGTCGACCCCAGGGTCGTGTTTGTTGCTACGGTTGGCGCGGTTCGTCGAGTCACAGCGTTCTTGTTGTTTCGGGTCTCACTCGACGACTGCTTGATGTTGTCGTCGGCGGTAGTTTGTAGTCCAACGGTTTCAGCGCCGAGAGCTGGATCGCTATGACTCAGGGCATGTCGACCGAGGCGGGACTGGAAGTCGACGATTAGGTTTGTTTCGTGGCCGGTTTCCGCTCCGCCGTATGGCAGTAGGGCGAACAGACTCAGTAGAATGCATGCAAGACAGACAGACAACAATATCCATCGACGTTGGAACAACAGTTCCAGCCTCGACATGATGGAAAGTTGAGAAAAACGAAGACTGACCGGGAACTGGGTTCGATCCGGAACATTCAGGCCGTCTAACCACCAGCCCCCTTCGCGCCCGCCCCAGGCCAGTTGTCCTGCTCGTTGAATTGCTCCACTGAGGAACACTAATGTCGAGCAAACAGTTTCTGTGGAGTGCAATGATACAGTCCAAGCACATAGCGATGGTGTGAAATCCGCTCGAATGTGATTGGTCGCATGCCCAATCCAACCAGCTACAAGCCTATCTTATCGCCAAACCGCTCGCGCAAGGCCAGCCACTTGTGCCAGAACACAACTGGGCACCACTGGCCCGTGCAAGGTGCTGCGAGTGTCGATCGGGTGACAGAATGACCAGAGGAGTTGTTGATGCCTCATCGTGAAACCGGAACATCTGAAGCTATTCTATGCGAACTGCTTGGTTGTTGTCAATTTTGTGTCATCATCGCGCATGCTTGGTGGGTGAAAAAATCTCACGCGTGTCCAAGAACGTCCAAAGTGTGGGTGTGGTCAAAACATTCAGCTCGGGGCGGCAACCTCGACTGCCATCCCTCGTTCACTGTTACTGCGACGCTCCCTCTTTCGTAGGTTGGATTGCGGCGTGCTTGAGGTGAGCTGGACCTGGTTATCAGGCGGCAAGAACGACTGCCATTCCTTTTGGTCATGCTACAGTACATTCTTGGGGAGTCGAGGCTGTGTTTTGTTGTTCTTGCTTTTTCTTGGTACCTGTGTGGTGATATTGCCTCAAGCAAGACCGATCCACCAGAACAGTGCGCAAGCAGCCCCTTCATTGCAGAGTAGAGTGGCTTGGGAAGAAAAACAGCTTGAAACACCTGCTTTATTTTCATTTGTCTCAGTGCTCCGCCAATAGCAATCCAGCAGAGTCCAAACTTTCGATCGCTGTTTCAAACGGCTCTTCAGCCCGTCTTGATGCCGTTCAACAACAAGGCTTCTCACAGCAGTTTGAGTGCTGCCGACTTACACTGTAGAGAGGCACAGTGGGTCGGACACGCGAAAGTGGGGGTCCCGGAGAGTGTGAGCGTGGAACCTCGACCAGGTTGGGAGCGATCTCCCACAACAACAAAGAACGCTGGAAGTTCTCAATGTTGCTTGTTCCCTAATTTGTACAAGCCGCCCCCGCAACTCTCGTTCTTGCGATACCCTCAGGAAACGTCCTTGCAGAACATTTATTATTGCATGCTCCAGTATTTGGCTCCGTTAATGTGTTTCAGCAGAGTGTCGTTTGTTTGTCTCGTTGTTGTGGATTTGGATTTTTGGTTTTGGGCTGACTCACTGTGTTTGGTCTGCCTCCTCCATTGATGATTCTTATTTCCACGTTGTCATGATAACAAGCAAAAAAAAAACCTCCCTCTTTCTCAGACGTTGATCACCGACTTGACTTTGAGCATTTCGGTTGTTGGCAAATGGAAATGACTGACGAGCATTGCATCCAAGAATAGCAACGCGTTTCGTCAGTCTTTCAATATTCAATCCCTTTCACTCTTCCGTTTCACTTTGTGTTTGTTGTGGGGTCAGTCGACAACGCTGCAACATCATCCTTGGACTTGACGAGAATCCAAACCGAAAACAAAAACAAAAAGGAAATCAAAACCCATGGCAGTGCGGCGACGACCAACGAAAGCGCGGGCGAACGAGCCGGAACGAAGGAGACCAAGGCCGAATCCGACCGATGACGCGAACGGTCAATCCCAAGCTCAATCCCAAACCCAAGCTCAGGCTCAGGCTCAGGCCCAGCCCCACTTGAATGCTCAGCAGACGCGGTTTGGACAGCAGCCGCATGCTCAGCCGCCGCCGCTGCTGCAGCGCCCGCGCAGACTCGCCCAGCAGTTGCGTCACTTGCCGCCACGTATTGCCTTCACCGCACGGCCGCCGACGCCGCCAATGGACGACGACTACGACGAGCACTTGCATCAACACCAACACCTGCTGCGTCGCTCGGTCGACCGTCCGGCATTGTGGCCTGCCCGTGGCCGTAGCAGTCAACGCCCGCGAACGTTGAACGCCGCCAATCGCCCCGCTCATGCTCCGTCCTCGTCGTCGCCCGATTGCAATGAGGACGGGTGTCCTGAGGACGAGATGGGGCTGCAAGACGAGCTGCAGGCGCAAGCCCAGCAATACGAGCTGCAGTTGGTGCTGCAGGAGCAGTGGGAAACGCCGACAGTACAGCTAATGCGTGGCTCGAGTCCAACTCTTGCTGTCGACGAGCAGGCAATCTTGCGTCCGGAAGACATGTTTGAGCTCGACGACGACGTCGCAATCATGGAGCAAGACACAACTGTCGCACAACACCTTGCAGCAGAGACGTCTGGCACGGCGTTGGATCGAATGCTCGCTGGCGCCTCGTCAATGCCCGCGGTGATTGTCATGCCGATGACATTCGATGGAGATTCCAACTGGGCTGACACTATGCCCGACAACTTGGTCGTCACCGGCAACAGTGGTGAGACTTTGCGGGTTATGAGTGGTAGCTCAGACCCCGAAAGCGAACCGACCGGGTTGGGCGTGCTGGCCGAGTTTGAGTTGTTGGACAACTCCTTTGCCATGGCCAACACCTCGTTGATTGAGAACTCCATGGAGAATGTATTGTCGGCACTGTTAGGGCCTGCGGCAGACATGCATTCCAGCACCTCGGCTGCTGCTGCTGGGCACCTGCTTTCATCGTCCATCGACTTCAACGTCGACAGCCTGTTTGGCACCGCAGGCTTGTGCACGAGTGCCAAGGATGCTGCTGCCTTGGACCGCGTGGAACCGGTTGCAGTGGTGTTGAACCACGCGTTCTGCCACAATGCGGCAGCACTTCCGCTCCTGTCAACCACAGCAGACAAGCAAGCTGCATGTCGGCCGCGATCGCCGGTCGTGGCGGAAGACCTGGACTCGAGCGTAGCGCGAAAGCGCCATTGCTCCACTCACGCTCGTGACACTTCTCAAGTCTCCAACGACGATGCTGGACTGCAGGTACAAGCATCCAACGAAACGGACTGTTTTCCGCTGCTTCCGCTGCCAGAAGTCGGCTTGCTTCTTGCTGGCCTTGACAATGCTTGGCTCGAGCAGCTAGAGCCCCAGCACGAGCAAGAGCCTCTTGACAAGGCAACCACTAGCATGGAGGACGACGGATCCGGCGTTGGAATGCTCGGTTCTGCCTGGTCGCGCGTCTCCACTGGAGTCACCCCCGACAATCAGCAGAACGGCACGACTTTGGCTCAAAGCAGCGGCAACAACAACAACAACAACAACAACAAAAGCAGCAGCAGCAGCACCTGTATTCATGAATCTCCTGCTGGTGCACCTGGAAAACATGCACCCATCCAGGCGATCGACGACTCAATCGCTGCAACACATTTGTTGGACATTACCGACCTGCTCAACTCGCTCGACGGCTACGTTGGGTTGAATGATAGTGCTGCTGAAGATGTAACCACCGACCGTCCACCGCACGCAACCTCGCAACCTCGGAGCAACATTTTGCTTCGCCAGCCACGACTGCCAGCCCAGCATCAGCCAAGCCTCGCAAGCCCAAGTCACCCGCGCGGCGCGAACGCAATCGGGTTGCGGCTGTACGGTGTCGGGAGCGGCACCGCTCTGAAATGCAAGCTATGGCGGCGTCGGAGCAACAGCTTCTCGAGAGCTCCCAGCAGTTGCAGCAGGAAATGAAGCGACTCATGCAGCAAGCCCTTGCTCTTGAGCACACACTGCTGCACCACCAGTGCACCAATGCACGAGGGGGCCTGACTCCGCGCGAAGTTGAGCAGCTCTCGATCGACTTGCGAGCTGTCCATGCAGGCACATATGTCGAGCCGCAGGACCTCGGCGACTCAAACGCTGCTCCTGCTGCTTCACGCGAGTCCGCTCCGCCTCGCAGCTCTGCAGTCGCAGCACTTCGCTCTTCCATCCTTCACAAGCGTCGCAGTGCAGCTCAACCCTCGCCGCCAGCAGGGCCAGAATCGGAAGTCGGTCACGTTAGCTCTCGAAATGCTGCAATCCCGCAACCGCCGCCGCAACCAAAACGCCTGTCTGCCAAACTCTCCAAGAAGCAGCAGATTGGTGGGTGATGCGTGTCCATTTGTTAGTCTGTCAATACATTAAGATGTTTCATGTTAAACAGTCTCACAGAAACCAAATACCAATTGTTTGTAAAGTGTTGTCAAAGGCTAGAAAGAAAAAAAAAGAACGCGTTGACATGACATTGATTATTGAAGAACAAAATGAAAGCAAGGAATCAGGTTCATAAGTTTGTATTAATAAGAAAGGGGGGGGGGGTGAAATAAGCGTTAACAGAAGGGGGGGCGGGGAAGGCCAAGGCAAACAGGCACAACAAAGCCACGCAAGCAAAAGGCAAAAAAAAAAAAAGGATTGAAAGCAGCAAAAAAACATCGACCCAAACGAAAAGAGGGAACAGAAAGGGGAGACGGTTTGTTTTGTCAAAACAAAAAAACCTAATCAGCAGCAAAAAGCCTCGCAAAAAGAATGCAGAGGGGGAGGGGGGGGGGGGAAACGCCACTTGCTTGTTGCCACTCGAGCCAGTTTAGAGCAGGTTGCGGTGGGACTCCGAGTTGACGTACATGAGCTTGGGCTTGGGGAAGCCGTTGAAGGTCGAGGAGGCAGCGACAGTGTAGGCGCCCATGTCCTCAAAGTAGAGCCAGTCGCCGATGGCAAGCTCGGGCAGACGGCCAGTCTTGGTGATGCAGTCCATCGAGTCGCAGGTGGGGCCCCAGATGGAGCAGGCAAAGCCAGACTCGGCGCGCTCCTCGGAATCCGACTCAGAGTCAGAGTCCATGGCGACGACGCCGAGGTTGCCGCTGACGAGGACGCGGGGCGCAACAACAGCGTGGTCGAACAGAATGCAGTTGAACGAGCCATAGACACCGTCGTTCACATAGTACATGAAGGTGGGGGCGCCATCGGCAGCGCGACCCTGGGCGGCAGCCATGGCGGCGGCAGCAGCGGCAGCGGGGCAGGCCGAGGCCGAGGCCATGGCGGCCTGGTTGGCAGCGCTGTTGGCGTCGTTGGTCTCGCCGTTGGTGGTGGGGAGGACGATCGTGCGCTTGGCAACAACGCTGACGGCCAGGGTGTGCGAAGCAGAGACAAAGTAGCGGCCAGGCTCGGCGATAATGTGCAAGTCCTTGTTCTCGGCAGCGGGGAAGTGCTTGTCGAGGGCGACGCGGAGAACCGAGGCAATGTCGTCAAACTTGACGTTGACGTTGTCCGAGCCGGGGAAGCCGCCGCCCAGGTCGAGCAGGTTGAACTTGAAGCCAAGCTCGGCGCCAATGTTAAAGACGGTCTTGGCGACGGCGACAGCGTCGGCAAAGGCCTGGGCGTCAAAGCAGCCAGAGCCAACGTGGTAGCTGACACCAACAACGTCGAGCTCGAGGTCCTTGGCGAGCTGGAGCATGTGCGGGACGCGGGCAAGCGCGGCGCCAAACTTGAGGCCAAGGTTGCAGATCGAGCGCGAGTTGTCCGTGAGCACGCGGAGGACGAGGCGCGCGTTGGGGTAGAGCTCCTTCATCTTGTGCAGCTCGTGCTCGTTGTCGAACGTCATCATGCGGACGTTGTTCTGCGAGGCAAACTTGACGTGCGAGGCCATCTTGCAGGGGTGGGCATAGATGATGCGGTCGGCGGGGACGCCCATCTTGAGGACAGTGTCCATCTCGGCCTTCGAGGCGCAGTCAAAGCCAGTGCCGAGCTTGGCAAGCAGCTTGAGGATGGTCTTGTCGCCGTTGCACTTGACGGCATAGAAGGGGTCTACGCGAGGCAAGGCCGCAACCCACTGGTCATATTTGCGGGCAACCTGGCCGACGTCGATAATGTAAAAGGGTTCATGGTCCTCAGAGTCAGCAGCGTGGGCACGGAGGAGCTTGGGGATGGAGGTTCCGGAGGCGATCGGGGTGATCGGGGGCAACTCAAAGTTGTCGGTGGCGGTGGTGGTGGTCGTGTCGGCGAAAAGACCACCCTTCATCAGGGTCGTAGTGGTAGGCTTGGTGGTGCTGCTGTAACAGTGGGGATAAGAAGGAGAAGGAAGAAGGAAGGGAAATGAGTATGTTCATGGCAATTGCAGAGAGAAAAGGAGGTCAATCAAAGCTACACACAAAGCAGCAGCAGCAACGGGAGCGGGCAGGGCGCGAATGGCAGACAGCTTTAGCGATGGAGTAGCGAAAAGCGCCAGAAAAAATGAAGAGTGATTTCGAAAACAGAATCAAGCGTCGGTCGAATTTAAAGCGATTGTGACGAAAAAGAAGAAATAGCAAAGAAGCACAGAAAAAGCAAAGAAGCAAAGAAGAAAGAAAAAAAAAAAAAAAAAGCTGCGCACTTTTGTAAAGTTTTTTTTTTTTTTTTTTTTTTGCCTCAAAGCCAAAAAATAAAAAAAATTCAAAGCCAATGGAAAATTGAAAAATCTCAAAGCCAATTCTTCAAAGCCACAAAATGCGCTTTTTTTCTTTTTTTTTTTTTTTTGGTTTCTTTTTTTTGTCGAGTGCACGCGGTTTGAATGATGAAATGTCGCCGTGTGGCTGAACGAACATAGCGCTTGCATTACCTGTCAATGGCGGCGGAAGGAGTGGGGGTAGAGGTGGCAAAATCAACAACCATCAGGGTAGAGTGCTTTTTGGGAGAGAGGGGGGAAAGGGAAAAAAGATGAACGCGGAGAGTTCTGGCGAGTAAAGCTTTTGGTGCTTGGGATGCAAGAGGCCGGGCGGGGTTTGGCGAGGCGTTGGTGTGTGTCCTGCAAGCGGCACAAAAGCAAACAGATGGAAGGAAGAGGGGAAATGTGAGCCAAGCAGAACGATGCGACAGCAACAGTCCGAAGAACACAACAACAATCAAAAGCGAGCGTTCGGCAGCGCGGTTTTTTCTTTTAATTTGCTCCGGCAAGCCACATTGGGCTGCTGAACTCAAAGATCCACGCATGGCAAACCTTGCGCGAGTCAAGCCTTGCGATGCGCGTCACAAAAACGCAGGATGGGACGAAGAGGAAGCGCGAAAGAATTGAATAAAAAAATTAAAATTAAAAAAAAAAGGCCCACGCGTTTCATTTGTGCCAAACCAGCTGCCACACCACAACACCACTCCACCACAAGGTGCGTGACACCGAAAGAAGCAGTGCCAGAGCCTGCGAGTGTGGAATGACACTAGGATGTGCTGTACAGCCATTGGAAAGCAATTGGTGAAACAAGCTGAAAGGGCAGAAGAACTGGTGGGGACGAGAAAGAGAAAGAGCAAGAGCAAGTGATTCTGAAGAAACCAACCGAAAACAAGAGTGATTCGTTGTGCTTTGTTCGATTTCGAGTTTTGAGTTTGGTTGATATCAACCAAACCGTGAGTGGTGAAATGCTGCGCTGTTGTGTCGTTAGGCAGAGCTGTGGAGAATGTCGCTTCTTGGTTGAACTACTGATTGGCAACGTGTCCAACATTCAGGATGGAATTGCCGCTTTGGACATGATCGGAAGCGCCCTTTTGCAGCAATACATAGTAGAACAGCACACGTCGTCGTCATAGAGCCAAGAATGGACAGTCGTGGCCGGCGGTTTGGATCAAGACAGCCTCACCCATTTTACCTTTCCACCCACCCTCCCTCCTTGCCCTCGTTGTTCCACTGCAGTGCAAAGTCTGAACGGGGAAAACATGAAGATGCAAGAATCGTACTTGAGCTTATAAAGTACAGAAGGAAAAAAAAAACACATAGATCGAATAACAGCACAACAAACCAAAGATAAATGCGAAAGAGCGTTGCATTATACCGCTA